CCGCTCAGCGTCACGGAACGGGCGCGACCTAACTTCCCCTTGCCGCCGACCTGCCTGCCTCCGTCCCTCCTTCCGTCCCTCCTTCCGTCCCTGCACTTCCCTCCTCAGAACCTCCACGTGCCGACTCCCTTGGCGGAAAACGCTTCTTCTCCCTCTGGCTAACTTCTGCGCTTTCAGACCTCCTATGCGATGACCTCTCCGCATGCCGAACGGAATTATTTCCATGTATGTAATTAGCTAGCCGTGTATGCCTGCTCCTGCTCTCCTGCTCTCCTGTAGGCTGCCAGCCTCGCCGGGGCAGGGCAGCAGATCGCAGTAACTAGTTGGGGCGTGAACGACTGCGCAGAGGCAGAGAATCCATCGCTTCTTCATCAGCGAACACGCGGCCCAGGCCCGGTGCTGAGGACGTCAGCGTGACACTCAGCCCAGTGCCGGCAGAGACCCGCCCTGGAGACAGCACCGCCCACCGGAGAGGAGCGGAGCGTGCGGCGAGCAGGAGCGCGGGAGCGCGTGCCAGTGCGAAGGAAGGCCATGTCCTCCGGCCAGTGACGAGTCCCCGCCTTCCGCCTGAGACAGAACATCCCTGTCCTGTTCCGTCTCAGGGGACCCCTCGGGTTTCGGTCTCTTCCTTGCCACCCTCAGTCGCTGACTCCGGAGTCATGTCCTCTTCCCACTGGCTCGCTCACTCGCTCTCGGCCCCTAGAACTTTCCATCAGCTTTTCCGGCCTCCGGCCCCCATCTGGCCTCTCTCTCCTGGGTCCGGGCCGGTCTGGTTTTTCACAAAGCACCGGAGCCCACCCAGGGTCCCCCTTCCTCCGCCTCCATCGGCTTATCACCCTGACAATAAGGAGCACTTAAAGATTCATTATGTTCATTTGCATATAAAAAGTAATCCTTTCGGCCGGGGCAATCCGTTACTTGTATGGCAACTTTAAAACCAGTTAAGGCTCTTCATTTACATTTTCACACAGACTGTGCTAAGCTCCAGGTTTTGGGGATGGAGTTACCCCCAAACCTCTCCCTTCACCTTAACGGTGGAGAAAGGTAACCAGGAGGTTGTTCCGTCCCACCTGTGGGGCGGTTCCAGAGGTGAACTGCTGTTTTCGGTCCGTTGTGGGGAGGGGGCAGTGCACGCAGGCACACACAGCCCCCAAGTCCTGGTCTCAGGCCGCAGGCGGAGGCCTGACCTAGTCACCATCTTGGCTGAGACGTTGAGATGATATTGGAGGGTCCTTGGGAAGTAGGTCACCCTTGTGGAGGTACATCCTAGGTCCCGTTTGGGCTTGTTTTGGAGGCAGAGAAGGCTCTGTGCCCCACCGCTCCCTGCCTCCTGCACTTGAACTTGTCTCTGGGTTACTGGGGCCTCAGCTTGGAACTTTCTGGCTCAGCAGCTGCCCACAGACGGTTTTCCTCCCCTGGCCCCCACTGTCCCTGCCAAACGGAGCTGGACATCTCCCCCGTGTTTGCAGAGGGGAGCAAAGGGAAGGTGCAGCCCTCGGAGGACAGAGGCCCACACCCCAGGGTGTGGGCAGGCTGGTGGGCGCTGGGCCTGGCCATGCAGCGCAGGTCTGACTGACTAGGGGACGCTGCGGCCGTGGTGGCTGCGAGGAGAAGCAACAACAGACTGAAATGGAGCCACTTTGGCTAAGTTGTGTCACCAAACCAGAATTTAACAGCTACCCAATCACGGTTTCAGCTTCCACCAGGAGAGGAATTTCGGTCTGATCCGCCCGGAATTGGGGGATCCATCGGCAGTCACTAGGTGCCTGCTGGATAAGGCTCCTTGCCTTTCCCGGGGGCGGGAGTCCCGGCTGGAAATCACCAGCCCTTTTAAGGTCTCAGTCCCGCCCTCCTTTGCCCGTGCACACCCTCCAACGGGCACACCCGCCCGGAGTGCCCTGCTCACTGGTGGATGGGGAGCTGCCTGCCCGGTTCACGAGTCACTCCATGAGAGCCCGATAGACGTTCAGGCTCACTCACTGAGCGCGCTCTCACCCCGCTGCCCCGTGGTGCTCCGGAGCGGAGGGCGGCATCGCCCCCAGAGGCGCGGCTCCTCCTCGCCGAGTCCTCAGGGAGCGCCGTGTGGAGTTGGCCGGTGGTGGGCGAAGCCCCGGGTTCAGGTTTTACAGGAGTTTATCCGGGCCAAGCCGATGGCGTGGCCCGGGGAGCAAGATCTCAAGTGTTCCAGAGAACGACAGTTCTGCAGCTTCTTTTATGCACTGAAATGTCGGGACGGTCCCGTGGAGGGGGGAGAAAGCAAGGTGGGGACTGGAGTCCAGGGGCAGTCAGAGTGCGTGGTCTCCTGAGGGGCCTGAGGGGCTGACCGCTTGCTCGGAGGAGGGTCCGAGAAGGGGTGTGTCAAAGGCGTGTGGGCCCCTGGCTGCACGGAAACAGTGGGCAGGGCTCACGAGGCAAGGAGAGAAGCCTTTTCCTGAGAAAGTCACAGGCCTGGGGCGAGACCGCCCACTGGGGCCCACCGGGGCCCACTGGCCCAGGTAGGAATTGATGGCCAGATCGTCCTGAGCGGTCACATTCCATAGCCCCCGTCCTCTCGTCCACGCGTTTGTACTGGGAACCCGGCTTCACCGGCCTCCCGCGGGCCTGCCTCCCGGGCACACCCGGCCCGGCCCGCGTGGCAGGCTGGGGAGGGCGCACGCCCCTCGGTGCCTTCCCCCTCCCCGGGGTGCTGCTCGGGGCCACGCCGCATCCCGGCTCCCGGCAGAGGCAGCGGCCAGCTCCCTCTTCGACCGTGCATGCAACAGCCCACCCTGCGCCTGTCTCCTGCAATGCGGTGGCTTTCAGCCCTGGCTGCAGGTAAGAATCTCTACGGAAGCTTTAAAAAAACAAAACAAAACAACAACAACAAAAAAAAAAACAGTGCTTTTCCCGGGCAGCTCCTCTGGACCGAGCACCATCCTGTGCGTGAAAAGACGGCCGGTTTGACCCGGGTCAGGGCACAGGCCCGAGCTGCGGTTCGGTCCCCGGTCACGGCGCGAACGGAAGGCAGCCGGTCGATGCTTCTGTCTCACACCGATGCTCCCTCTCTCCTACTCCTTTCCTCTCTTTCCAGAATCAGTGGGCACGGTCTCGGGGAGGATTTAAAAAAAAAACACACTAACAAACAAACAAAACCTTTTTTGCAGGCTGGCTTGGCTGCAGTCCCCAGGGGGCCGCGCCGCCCGCCGCCCGCCCAGAGCCAGCCTTTGTGGATGTGGAAATTAGGTCCCTCCTGTACCCAAGCTTCTGGAAAGAAAAGCTCTATCTGTAGCTCTGATCTGTTTTTTTAAAAATCCTCAAAATGTTTACGTTAGAAATCAGTGATTTACCCCGCTTATCTTCCTGCTTTAAACAACTCTGTCTTTCCTCCTGCTCCTCGCTTGTTCCTCCAGACCCCTCTTACTGTCGCAAAGTCAGTCGTGAGCTGCCGATGAGGGAACTCCTGAGTCCTTTGTGTTGTCCCTTTGGGGTTTCTCCTTGTTTACCCGATGGATAACGTTTATGCCCTTCGGAGACGACAAGGGTCCCAGGGGTCACAGCCATCGAGGGGCAGAGCCAGAAGTGCCAGGGAGTTTGTGGGTACATTGGGGGCAAAAGGCCTTGAGGTGGGCTTGGAAGGAAAGGGGTGCCTAGCAGCCAACTCCTCCCACGGGCCTCCCACAAACCACATTTGGGGAGAAGCCCACACTGGTGCTGCCGTCTGAGCAGCCCTTGTAGAGGAGCTCCTGGGATCCCACTTGCATCAGTGGGAGCGAGGCTTTGCCTGCCCAGCATCTTCACCAGCCAATCAGAGCAGCTCTACTCTGACTAACTGGGAAGAGCATCTGGGGCCAAACGGCCAGGGTCTGGAGTCCTCATTTGCAGTGAGGACAGACCAATCAAGGACCAGGGGCAGGAATCCCTCTCTCTGTACACGCCGGGCCCCCTCTAACTTTACTAACCACTTTCCCTTCCCACTGAGAATTGGACACGGAGTTTCACCCCAAATGGGTGGGGTGGGGCAGGGCAGACCCGAGCAGAAGAGCACAGCACAGGAGAGCAGGACTTCCCCAGCCCATGGCTGCCGCCTTGCAGCCCAGCTGTGTCGCAACCGGGCTGTCTGCACTCGAGTTTCCTTCTTCGCCTGCACCCCCGGCTGCAGGTTCCTCTTGGCACTGAGTTAGCACCGATGAGTGCTGGCTGACAACCCTATAAAGTCATTGGCTTTTCCCTACCTGTCTGCCCTCACGTCCCTGATTTCTGCCCCCAAAACACTCACCTTTTATTATATCCGCCATTGCAGCCTTCGCCCAGCGGGCTGCCCACCCCTTCACAAACACGTCTCAAGGGGCGGTGCCCTGCCCCAAGTTCACGGGCAGATTGCAGCGTGCTTCCTTGGGGTCCTTGTCCAAAACTCTGTTCTGGGTCCTATACAGGCACCACACTCACCAACACACAGGCCCTCCCCCCAAATAAGCACCAGTGAACACGCGTGCACAACCTCCCCACACAGACACACGCCAACACACGCAGGCGCCGCGTGCACAGGAACCTCTGGGCTCCAGCCCGAGGCCCCTGGGTCCCGCAGGTTGTAACCCCCTGGGCTGTCCAGGCTGGGGGGAAGTGAAACCTGCCTCCACGGGAAGCGAAACAGACCATGAGCCTTTCTCCCACTTCTGACTCAGCCCCTGGGGGCACCGAGCAAACAGTCTGCAGTGTCTGGAGCCGCTCTGAGGTAACCGGGACCCCCCGGGTGGGGGTCTGGGTGGAGCGCTGGGCTCCGGAGGTTCCTGGAGGTGACCCGGGAGCCGGGCGCCTGGTCTCCGCTCACCTGGCGCAGGCCTCTCGCCGGGCACCGTCCGGTGGGAGGAAGGACACGGGCATCCCCTGCCACAGGGCTGTGGGAGGGTCACGGGCCCGAGGACGTCTCCTCGGAACCACAAGTGTGCACGGTCCGTTTCCCTGTTCTTAGTATGCAAACGAAGTGTTCTTACAGGGTTTTCCTTCACCCTCCTTTCAAAGTCCAGAAACATTTCAGAGAGAGAGACAAGAAGTAGTAAAATAAAATAGCAAGAGTTTTTTTCCTTATGCTCGACCTGGCCCTGGCCAGCACTCCGTAAGTTTTGTCAGGCGGGCCGGGAAAAGTCCCGGAGCTGGGCTGCGTGAATCCGTCCGTTGGGGGTTCTCAGGGAGGGCGGAGGTAGAGGTGTGGGCACTTGGTGGCCTCTGTTCAGTGTCACAGGGAGAGAGAGACGAGGGACCGGGGCACCGAGTGGGGCGGATGGGAGGGTGGCGCGGATGCCACTGGCCACTGTCCCCTTGCAGCCAGCACTGTCTGTAGTCTGAGGGGGAGGCGAGGACTCGATGAAGTCAGGGGGCCCCTCCAGCGCCCCCTCTCCGGGTCCAGGGTGGATCTGAGCCTGACTGTGAGGCCAGGGTGACCTGTCCTCCGGTTCCCGCTGGTGTCCGACGCGCCGTGCAACAATTAAACGTGGGTCCTGGGGAGGGTCTCGAGTGCAATGTATTTCATTGATTACCAAACTTCTCATTTTTGTCACATCCCTGCACCTGTTTGCATGCATGCGTGTGCGTGTGTGTGTGTAATTTTTTAATTAACTGGCTTAGCCCTGGCCGGGTGGTCTGTTGGTTACAGCATTGTCTTGTACACCACAAGTTTTTGGGTTCGATTCCTGGTCAGGGAAAGTACCTAGGTTGCAGGTTCAGTTCCTGCTCCGGGAGCGTGCAGGAGGAAGCTGATCGATGTTTCTGTCCCTCTCTCTCTCATCCCCTTCCTCTCTCTCTAAAATCAATACGTGCTGTCCTTCAGTGAGGATTAAAAGAAAAAACAAGAAAAACTTCTCAGCTTTCAACACTCAAATTTCTAAAAGCTCTTTGTCATTTATTTATTTATTTTTGTTCCTGTATTATAAACACAATATCTTTTTTTTAAAAAATCTCTAAAGATATCAGTTCCAGTTCTTTGGAGTTCTTTCATCTCCTTCATTGTCTCCATTTCCCTTTAGCTCCTCCTCTGCGTGCTATTTTAAAGTTTCGTCACCATATCGGGGCCCCTCTTCACGTGGCTTCTGATACTTTGCTTGTGGGTCACATTGGGAAGCGGGACCCTAAACATCGGATCGCGACCTCTTGCCCTCTGCGTGCGCAAGGCTTGCTGACCGAAGAGCGGCACTACGAGGAGGGCTCCCGGCAACGTTGCGTTTGGGGGGCCCTCCGCACCGGTACCTGGAGGCCTTGTCTCTGGGGTCTCAGGGACGAACCCTCCCATGTGCCCCATCTGGTGCCCCGAGAACAGGGAGTGAGGAGGAAAATCGACACTTAAACCTTTCGTTGTCACTCGCTCCCCCTTGCTGGTGTGGTTGAGTCCGTCTGTGCATTTCCTCTTCCAGACACCCGATGTTCGGGGGGACCCCACCCGGGCGCGCCGCCCTCCGCTCCCTGCTTTTGCTGGGAGCCGCGGCCTTGCTCTGCTCCGCCGCGCCCATAGACGAGACACGGAAGCAGCTGCTGCGCAGAGAGAGGGCGATGCGGCTGGGGGGGCAGCTGGCGCTGACCCGGGAAGAGGAGCGGGCCAACCGCGTCCTCATGGCGCGCAAAGAGGCTGAGACGCGCGGCCCGCAGTTCCCGCCCAGCATGCACTTCTTCCGGGCCAAGCGCCTCATCGAGGAGAGCGCCGTGTTCCGCGTCCTGCAGAAGATGCCGAAAGGTAGAGGCCGGCGGGACGCCCCTGGGGTCCCGGGGAGGTGGGGAGGCTGGCAGGGCGCCGCTGGGGTCTCGGGGAGGTGGGGAGGCGGGACTTGGGGGTGCTGTTGCTCTGAACTCAGCGGCTCTGCCCCTGGTTCTTGCTGGCAAATTAGGGGAGGGGGTGTCCGAAGGTGCTCCTGGGTCACCCTGGAACCAGACACCCCGCTTCCGCGGGGACTCTGCCGCAGCGAGCACGCGGGAGGCAGGCCCCGGGTGTCGCCGGCCTTCCTGACACAGCTGGGAAAGCGTGCACCCGGGAGACCGTGTCTGGGGGCCCGCAGGACCCTGGTCTTCCCTGCGTACCGTCCTTCACGCCCCTCCTTCCAGCCTTTCCCCGGGGGCCCCGTCACCAAAGAGGGCGCTCGAAAGAGCGTCCTGGACGAACACGTTTCCGGTGGAATACTTTTACCGTATAAACCCATGCATATGGCGAGTCAAATAATCCTCATCCAGCACACGGCAACAGCCGTGTGCCACTTATGAGGACTTTGCCTTTTTTGCTTGATGTCACTAATAGACACAAAAAATAAAACCTGTGAGGTCGGTGAAGGGGCGTCCCCAGGGGCTGGAGAACGTAAGCTCTAGAGAGGGTGGCCCTGCAGAGACCCCCAGCCGGAGCCCCAGGGTCAAAGCCAGGTGCTGAGACAGGGCAAGAAGTCCAGGGGGACAGTGTATTCTGGGCCTTGAGGAGCGCTGGGGGCAAAAGCGCAAGCCCAGGGCCCCAAACCGCAGCCCCGGCAGACCAGAGCCCCATGGGAAGTCGGGGGCGGGGAGCAGGAGTCCAGGGCGTCAGTTAGAGGGGGGTTCGATGGAGAGCTGGCATCTGAGGAAGCCCCACCGGGACCCTGGCCTCAGCGGCCCCCACCCTAACCCCGCCCTCCTCCTCCCTCCGCGCCCAGGGGCCGCCCTGCACGTGCACGACTTCAGCATCCTGCGCATGGACTGGCTGGTGAGAAACGTCACCTACAGGCCCCACTGCCACTTCTGCGTCACCCGCCACGGGGCCCTCAAGTTCAGGTTCGCTCACCCAACGCCCCCGCCGCCCGCGGAGTGCTCGGGGTGGGTCCTGCTGGAGAAGTACCGGCAGGAGCTGCGGAACGTCACCGAGTTTGACGAGGGGTGAGTGGCGGTTCGGCTTGCGCCTGCGCCGGGCAGACGGCGGGTCTCTCAGGGCAGACGTGGCCTTTAGCAAGTCAAGGGGCGCTTTCTTGGAGCTTGACCAGGAAGTTCCCATTTGATCAGCCAAAGGTGTGAACAGCAACGCTGTTGCTGCATCAGGTGAAATTTGTCTGGAGGCCCCAGGAGAGCCGGAGGAAGAGAGGGTCTGAGCCCCCAGTCAGTGGGCAGGCGAAACAGCTGGAAACTCGGATGGAGCCGTTTCCTAACAAACCTGGGTAGTAATGTTATAATAATAATGATTATTATTTAATCTTTAAATTTTATTTATTTTCGGAGAGAGGGGAAGGAAAGGAGAAAAACATCAGTGTGTGGTTGCCTCTCACATGCCCCCCCCACTGGGGAGCTGGCCCACAACCCAGGCCTGTGCCCTGACTGGGAATCGAACCGGCGACCCTTCGGTTTGCAGGCCGGTGCTCAGTCTGCTGAGCCACACCAGCCAGGTTTAATACTTTCCATTTTCATCTCGGAACCACCTACAGGGGTTTCATGAGGTTACTTCCCTTGATGAGTGGGAAACACGGAGCCTGGCAGGGTGGAGGGAGCGGCCCCAGGCCCCCGAGCCGGGAAGCGGCTCACGTCCACGTGGGAAACGACCCGACCTGGGAGGGTCTCTGCAAGTTTATCTCGGCCAAGCCAAGCCGACCACAGGGGCCCGGGAGCCAGATCTCCACGGGCTGAGAAAACGCTCCCGAGAACGGCAGTTCTGCACCTCCCTCTGCACACGGCCGTCAAAGGAGGAGACATGAGGGGCTACAGAAACCCATGGGTGGTCGATGGGGGGTGGGAGAGAGCAAAGCAGGGAAGCCCCGGGGACGGGATGAAAAGTAAAGCAGACACAGCTTCTTCCACAACAGTGGGCGCAGGGTGGCAAGGAGTTAACAGTTAACGAGATAACAGTAACAATGAGGGGGTTTGTGGCCTTTGCCCCCTGCCCTGAGGGGTCTGGAGAAGGGAAATTCCAAAGGTGTGTCCTCAAAGACGCAGGCAGATGCTCTGTTCAGGGAAAGATCACCTCCTCGGGGAGACACTGCCAGGACTGCCCTCTCTTGGGTGGCCCCTTGTCGCCCACACTGGTCAGGGGTGTGAACCTGGCCGTGCAGGGCCGTGTCCGGGGGTCTTTCTGTCAGACAGAGCCCGGCATCCATCTGCCAGGGCCGCCCTAGCACAACAGACCCAGTGACTCAAACGACAGAAATGGGTTTTCCCACCGGTCTGGAAGGGGGGGTCCAACCAGACCCAGGAGCAGGCTTTGCGTCTCCTGAGGCCTGCCCCCGCCCACCCCGGCCGGCAGCTGGCTGCCGCTCACCGGGCCCGGGCCCACCCCTGGGCTCTTACAACAGCCTGGTCTGATGTCGGTCTGGCCCCGGAGCCTGCATTTACCCCGAATGCCCCTTCAAGTCCGTCTGTCCAAGTGCTGTCCCTCGGGGGTTAGGGGGTCTGTGTATGGATCCGCAGGGTCACGGTTCACTGCACAACACCCGCCAACGAGAGCTCGGTCTGGCAGGTGAGGACAGCGGGGTCGGGCGGCTCAGTGTGCAGAGCGGACGGGAGAGGCAGGGTGGGGGAGCCTGCCACCTGGCTCGCCCGCTCCCTGGAGGAGGAGGCTCTTCCCGGGAGGGAGGGAGCGGCCAGGAGGGCTGGACTCCTGTGGAGCCTGCTCACGCTGGGCTCGCGGCCCCCTGTGTGTCCCGGCAGCCTCCTGAGGAATTTCACGCTGGAGACTGAGAACCCCGAGGAGGCCTACCCAGACCGAGACGTCCTCTGGTCCAGGTTCCAAGCCATCTTCTTCTCCATCTCGGGCCTGGTCAGCTACGCGCCCGTGTTCCGGGACTACGTCTTCCTGGGCCTGCAGGAGTTCTGCCAGGACAACGTGCTCTACCTGGAGCTCAGGGCCGAGCTGCTGCCGGTGAGTTGGCCCCTCAGTCCGACCCTCAGTCACAGCCTACGGGCTCTGCAGGTCGGCACAGGCTCCCCACCGCAGTGCCAGGCCAGGACTGAGTGACGGCGTCACCCCCAAGGGGTCGTGAGCCGTGAGCAAGGCACCCTGAGCCGGGCTGGGCCGGCCCCAGCCAAACAGGGACTGTGACCCCCACGCTCCTGCCTCCCGTCTCCGCTGGTCCCCACTTCTCGCCCCGGCCCCCGGCCCTGGGCTCTGTGCAGGGCCTCCCTCTGGGGCCTTTCTTCGCCTGTCTCCTTTCGTATCAAACGTTAGCTTCCCCGAACCCCTCGGGCCGTGCTCCTGGTGTGGGGTGCACGAGGATCTGGGAAATGGACCCGGCCACCTGTAACGGTGGGGACCCGCTCTGTGGAGCCCAGGTGCATTTATCTGGGGTCTTGTGCGGGCAACGCTGCCAGCAGCAGGGCTGGTGGGAAGCCTTGCTCCCTCCCAGGTCCCCTCGCCCCATGCCAAGCTCAAGGCTGGGCAGTGCAGGCCTGGTGTCTGCACGGGAGGCAGAGGCCTGGGGACCTGCCAGCCGCCCGCCCCTGGTCCGGGCCCCACGGCTCCCTACACTGTGCCTTCTCCTCCACCTTCTGCTGACTCTGCTGCTGCTTTGTGTTTTATGCGTTTTATTTATTTAGGTTTAGAGAGAGGGGATGGGAGAGAGAAAGAGAGGGAGAGAAACATGGACGTGAGAGGAACATCGACCGGTTGCCTCTCATACGCGCCCCCTTGGGGCGTCAAACCTGCGACCCAGGCCTGTGCCCCAACCGGGAGCCAAACTGGCGACCTTTTGCTTTGCGGGATGACGCCTGGCCCACGGAGCCACACTGGCCAGGGCTGCAGACTCTTCTCATTTCCTGTTTGTTCAGCCTCAGAAGTTCCCTTCCTGATGCTTCCTCAACTCACGCTGCACCAGCCTCTTTCTTCTTCAACCTCGGTGGAAGCAATTCCACTCTTTGGCTCGAAATGACAGCCTCTCACATCCAGAGGGTGATCGCTCCCCCGCCACCTTGTCCCTGTTTTCCTCCCACCTCTTCCTCCCTGTTTCTCTCTCTTTCTTCTCTCTGCGCATCCAGTCACCAGACAACGGCAAGCTGCTACCCTGTAAGCTGCCAGGCTCGGGGCTGGGTGTCCTTAAGGAGGACACCAGTTTGTCTCGGGGAGACTCGTGGGTGAAAAATACAGGTGACAGATATTCTTGGGCATGTTAGAGAACCAGCCCTGGCTGGTGTGGCTCAGTGGACTGCGCACCGGCCTGCGAACCGAAGGGTCACCAGTTCGATTCCCGGTCAGGGCCCGTGCCTGGGTTGCACGCCAGGTCCCCCTCTGGGGATGTGCAAGAGACAACCAATCAACACTCCTCTCTCACTCTTTCTCCTTCCCTTCCCCTCTCTCTAAAAATATATAAAAGTAAAAAAATCTTTTTTATAAAGATATTTTCTTTAAATTTTTATTTATTTTATTTTTAGAGAGGGAAGGGAGGGAGAAAGAGAGAGAGAAACATCCATGTGCGGTTGCTGGGGGCCGTGGCCTGCAACCCAGGCATGTGCCCTGACTGGGAATCGAACCTGCGATGCTTTGGTTCACAGCCCACGCTCAATCCACTGAGCTACGCCAGCCAGGGCTAAAAGTAAAAAATCTTTAAAAGAAAAAGAATTATTTACATGGTGTAGAGGGAGTACGAAAAGGGCACAGGTTAGTGGTCCCTGGCGGGTGGGGTGGGGGCGAGAGGACCCAACATGCCTGATGGAGGCATCCCGGAAGGTGAGGCTTGGTCCCCTGAGCCGAAGGGCAAGCTGCCCCTCCTGGGCAAGGTCTCCCTCCTTGGGGAGGGAGGTGCTGTACACGTTCCTGTGGAGCGAACAAGGAGGGACAAGCAGGAGCTCCTCACGACCAGATCCTGAGACTCTAGGGACTCTCATCGAAAACAAGGCTGCGGCCCTGGCCGGGCGGCCCGCACCCCAGAAGGTGTGAGTCCGGCCCCGGGGGCCCGGGTCGGGGCGCGCACGGGAGGCAACCAGTTGCTGTTTCCCCCTCACATCGAGGTTTCCCACTCTCCCCTTCTCCTCTCGAAGACATACCTTCCCGTGAGGACTTCATGTACACGTAGCACCCTTTGCCCCGGAGGGGAAAGCACTGACACCAGCGGACTGTTGGAGGCAGTGGGGTCCACACGCCTCTCTAAACCCTCTCTGGGGAAGCCGCAGGTACGGCGACCCTGGTGTTTCTGCGCTCTAAAACCACGTGCAGTTCTGCTTGGGATCCCTACACTGACTGGGCCGCCCCCGGTCGGATCCGAAGGACTCGGTGGCTCTCCAGGGAAGGACACACCTGCCCGAGAACCAGTAATTCCAGTTTGCGGTCGGCCCCTTTCCCTTCTCCTGAAACAAAGCCCCTCACCTCCCCACTCTCCCTTTCTCGGCCTCCCGGGCTGACCCACCTTTCCCCTTAGACATGCTAATGCCCGCCCTGGGGGTAGCTGCCGGCCCGCTTTCTCCTGGCTATCTCCACGCACAGGGTGCGAGGTGTGCTCGCTGGTTTGGCCGTGTGCAGACGCGTGTCTCCCCTTGCGGGGAGCGGGGTGGGCCCTGCTGGGTGCCCCCAGCGAGCCTCCCTGAGTCACGCAAGCCGCGTAGACAAGGCCCGGGCACCCGGGCTCCTCGTGCACGGAGAGAGCAGGCGGGTTGAGGGCGCCCGCTGTTCGGGGAAGAATTTCCGAAGGCGATGAGCTCACCCTGGAGCTGGTCCGTGTCACACACGGCCCCTCCCGGGAGGACTGACGGTCACGTTTGGGCCTGGAAAACCCCTCTCTCTCCCCCCAAGCGTGGGCTCCAGCCCACCCTTCCCTCGGGTCTGGTGTGAGCCCCCCCCCATTTGTGTGCCGCTCAACCCCCGGCACCGCCTCCCGGGAACTGCGGGGGTCCACGTCTCCCCCTCTGTCCCCTGTCATGTTTATCTCCGGCCCCCGTATCGTCACCCCGGCGTGGGAGCCCCGGCTTCCCAGCGAGGTTGGCGGCAGCGGTGACACTGCCCGGGTCTCCAAAAGGCCCCAGGCGGTGATCCTGCTGGTGGGTGGCAGTCCTCCCGCTTGCACCCGGCCTTTCCGGGTTCTAACTCTGCGCTCTGGGGCAGGGCTGGAGGCTGCTAGGGACCCAGCCCCTCCCCCTCCCCCAGGGGCTCTGGTGCAGGTGGTCTTGCCCAGACCACACCTGAGAGGCTTTTAGAGCCCGGGGCAGCCCCCTCCTCCTCCACCGGGGGTTCCCAGAGGGGCATCCGGCCGGATCCCAGGCCTCCTGCCCGGGAGCGTGTGCCCTCAGGATGTGCCCAGCGGCTGCTCCCACCCCCCACCCCCAGCCGGCCCCTCGGGGAGAGCCGCTTCCTGTTGGGCAGACCCTGGCTGCTTTCTCCGTGTGGGCGTGGGGGCCCTCAATCCCACCTCAGCAGGCAGGGCCTCGCAGGCGAGGACCTGGGCTGGCTGGGAGATGGCTGCCTCGGGTCCTCGCCTGGCAGGGTGTCTGGGAGGGGGCTGGGCCGTCAGGTTGGAGCGGCAGAGAAAGGCCCAGAGCCCAGTGTCCTGCGCGGCCCTCTCCCCCCTTTTCTGCCGCTGCCCCGGCCGAGTGGGGCGACAGGCTCCCGGACATTCAACCGGGGACCCCGCCCGGCTCGGCCCCCCCCGCTCTGCCCACCCCCACCGTCCGCAGCCAGCCTTCCCAGAAGGTGGAGGGCTCCCGGGATTTGGGATTCTGGGAGAGGCCGAGGGGGGTGGGACCGGACCGTTTGTTCTGCTCTGACCCTGGAACAAAGGCCTCTTGCAGTGGAGAGCCTGTGCCCCGACGCCCCCGTTGGCCGGAGCGGGGGCGCCACCGACATTAACAACTAAAAACCGTCTGCTCTGGAATTCCTTTGCTGCGCCGCGCTGCCCCCCCACCCCCACCCCCACCCCCACCCCGGCTGGTGGGGCTAATTCAGGGCCTGGGATGATGTTGATGGACTATCCTGGCTGCTCAGTCTCCTATTGTGTTACTAATGCTCAATAACAAAGGCTACTTGCCTTTAGCAACAGTTGCTAGGCGGGTCTTATCTCCTGGGCTCCAGTCCCTTCCCCCAGGGCCAGAATCTGAGGCCCAGGCCGGGTCCTGGCCCTTCCCGAGAGTGGGGCTGGTGTAGCCCAGCAGGATTGCCCACGGGGGTGGGCGGCCCTGCAGGCTCTTACTGATGGAGGTCTCGGGGAGAGACAGGTCTGCGGCAGGGCCCGCCGGTGGCGGCCAGCCCTTTGGGCTCCGCTCCCTCAGCACCCTCCACGAGGTTGTCCCTGGATTCTCAGCAGGCCCCTCAGGGGAAATGCCACCTGGCTTACAGCTGCAGTGACTGGCATTGACACTGCTCCGTGAGAACACCGACGGCAGCCCTGGACGGGGTGGCTCTGGGTTGACGCCTAGTGTGTGAAACCAAAAGTCGTGGGTTCAATCCCCAGTCAGGGCGCAGACAGGAATCCACCAATGAGTGCAGGAGTAGGTGGGACGCCAAACCAAATCGATGTCTCTCTTGCTTCCTCTCTCAAATCAATCAATCAGTCAATCAATCAATATAGTTAACAACTGAGGCATGTAAATTGGTCCCATGCGTCCCTCGTCCAGGAGGGCTTGTTCCAGGGATGCAGCAGCTTTTGCAGCCTTCAGCCTTAGAGCGGGACGGGCACCAGGGCCTGCCTGTGCTCACAGGTTGCTGGATTCCTACTGTTGACTCATCCTGCTAGGAAACTGCCGATTTTGAGCTGTTCCCCTGTTTCTGGTTGATCCCACGGGTAGTATTATTATTCATAGTTATTATTTCCAAGTCCGTTCCAAAGACCAGCTCATTCGCTCCTCGCTCTGCTTCTATGAGGCACGACTCCTTTGGAGCAGCTGGTAAACATCCCCACCGAGGGCCTGAGCTGGAAGGCTGATGCGACCCCCAACCAGCAG